GACGTCTTCCAGTTGCTATCTCTATTGGTGAATATCCACTGATAGTCAACTGACAATTTCTTGCCCACACTACTTTCTTGACCACTTCTCTGACCGTAACACCACGAAAACGTGGGTCATCCAGATCTACCTTCATAACATGCCACATACGTTTGAACAAACGTACAGCTGTCTCTGCTCGGTTCGGCCAAGGAGTTCTTGGCCCACAAGGACATTGTTGTATACCATGGAACCTGTAGTATTCAACAAAAGCATCTGTGAAAAAGGCTTCGTCTCCTACGATGGCCTTCGGAACACAGTTGTTCTCATCAGACCACTGCCTCAATGCTTGGATGGTGGTTTGATCTATGAGGTCTTTCTGTGCCGTAGCCCAGAGAAGATTTGTGGCACCATCAAGAACAAGTAAGATGATATACTTGTTCTTGTGAAGTTCAACCTCACAATGATCAGCAAAAACAACATCACCAAAACATGAAGCTCTAATACCGGAGACTCTGGCTCGTGGCGGAGGTGCCACTGAAGTGTTACAAACACGGCAGTTCCTGACAACTGATTCATACTTCTCTAAAACAGAGTCAGGAAGCTTCAACATAGAAACACGTCTACGAAACTGAGTAGGACTCATATGGTAGTGCTTCACATGAAGCTTATAAAGCTCTACCTTGTCCTCCAGTCTCTGTAACATCTTCCTATATGCCGGTGTCATTGCAACAACTTCACTACCAGGTAATGGGATTGAAATCCGCCTAGGCTCAAGAGCGCCATCACCTGGTTCAAGTGGTTCATGTTTATCACTTGATGGTCCTTTTGATGCTTTAGGAATTTCTACAAGTTCACCTTCTGGCCTCTCAGGTGGTTCTGAGGGAGCATACTCCTCAAGATCATCACCCTTTAAATCATTCTGAGGCTCAGATGGTTTCGACTTGTGTCCTTTCCAAAATGGATCAAAACCCTTGGAAGTATACCGAAACTTTGGCGGCACGGGCTTTTCCGCGGCACTGGATGGTGCACCTTCCTTCTCTGATGAGAAGCCTGGTTCCCTGTCCTTTGCAATGGGAACCTTCTCTGAGGAGGAGCGCACCACTGCATCGGGATCACCAATGCCACGGTGCTCAATGCCAGCCTTCCTGATCTTTAGATCTGGAATTTTGGCATCTGGCTTAAATTTAAAAATTGTTCTACCACGCCATTCATAGCCAAGTTGTAGGTCCTTCCATTTTGCCTTGCGCCAATCATCTGTCTTCTTGATTTCTTCTCCTCCTGCTTTCTTCTTGATGATTGTCAGTCGCAAGTCTTCCAGCAAGTCAGTGTCTACAGGACAGGACTTAGTTGCTGGGAAAAGAATTTTCCTGTAATCCTTGTGGTGACGTATCAGTTCTCTCTTGTGAACATCTACTTCCCAGAAATCAACCACAGGATATGCATGCTCAGCTTCACCTTCATCACTATTGTGTTCAACAGAAATATGGCCATATTCATAGTGAGTGAGGTGAGAGTAAAAACTCTTCTCACGCTGAGTCTGCCAACGCACGTCAGACAGATACCATGCAATATCTTGGAAGTCCAACACAAGATGAGTACTGGCTGCAACCTTCAACTCCAAAAATTTGATACCAAGAGGCACCGATGTCAGATAAGCATGTTGAGGTGTCAGCCTGAGTTCAAAGCCTAAGTTCCTCATCTGTGGCAAGCTCATAAGCAAAGGGACTTCTCCTTCTTCCACTATGTCGAACTCTGTATGGTGGATCGTCCATGCACGATCATACATATAAATCACCAGTTTCTGAGAGCAAGTAGCCTTCTGGGAATTGGCAAAGTAAAACTTGCTCTTGGTAGACTCAAAAGAGTACCATAATCCACAATCTGGGTGATTGTCGACATAGTTGCAAAAATGGTCGACTGCTCGCCTTGATCCCATAGCTCTAGTGCATCCAATGTCCAGGATTGCAATAGTTGGCGGGAAGCGATTCTCAGTCAAAAATGAAATAGCCTGCATCTCCTTCACTTCTTCCTCAGCGCTCATAAGCGCAAAGCCATCAGCGCTCATAAGCGCAAAGCCATCAGGAGCCCTTGTGAGCATCTCCTTTGACAAAGAGTACCTCACAGGGGCACTCATGTCATCGAAGATCGTCTCACCATTGTTGACCACGCAGTCAGCTTCATCTTGGCATGAGGTCATCATGCCTGACAGCAAGTCCACCTCACTGTCATGGACTTCAGCTGCTGCTGTCACACAATGTGCAAAGAAACCTTGTTGACCTCCTGATGCTTGTGAAGATCTTGAAAGTGCAGGTAAAGAACGTGGCTGTTGTGGATTTGCATAGTTTGCATCTTGTTTGCCATCTCCTTTATCTTTTCCTTTTCCTTTCTTGCCTTTTCTCTTGCCTTTTCCCTTTCCTTTGTGGGAAAACCATGCTTCTTCAAGCTGTTGCCAAAAGTCATTG